TCTGATAAGCTTGGATAAGCACTGACTAACTTAGACGAGCTCTGACCAGCTTGGACAAACTATGACCAGATAAGACCATTTATAATTAGCTTAGACGAGCTCTGACCAATTTGGACAATCTATGAACAACTATGGCTAGCTTAGACGAGCTCTGGCCAACTTAGAATAGCTATGGCCAGCTATGACTAGCTTAGACAAGATCTGACAATCTTGGACAAACTATGACTTGATAAGACCACATATGATTAGCTTAGACGAGCTCTGACCAGCTTGGACAAGTTATAACCAGCTAAGACCAGCTATGACTTCATTAGACGAGCTCTGGCCAAGTAAATTGCCTGAAAAAATGATGTCTGACATGGGTATGTGGCCTGGTGTTCCTACAATAAGATCTGGATTTAAGTCTCACAAGTAAAGATGCGTCATGGAAATGGCGTCTTGAAAATATCGGCATGGAGTGCTAATCCCAATGCTTGGTGCGTGAAACAGGATATAGGAAACTGGTGGTTGGAAGCCGTTGATGGTTGCGTGAGCACGAAGTCATAAGTCAGCGTGTCCGAGGGTTTTAACGTACTGGCCTTGTTCAACTACTGGTTATGCCAAACAGTTCGATCTCTGGAACAGGCATGGCACGTGGAAGTAGAATCTAGCCAGGTGAACGCAATAAAAGTTTCGGTTTGAAATTTCAATCACCTGAAGAAAGCCGACGCGTACAACGGACGAAACGTTGTAAATATGGCAATGAAGATGAGGATAACAGTCCGAATAATGTAAATAATTCAAGTAATCATAATACCTCATCTCAGAGATATAGACAGATATTGAAGACCGGATCGTACAACGGCCGAAACGTTGTGAATATGGCAATGAAGATGAGGATAACAGCCCGAATAATGTAAATAATTCAAGTAATCATAATACCTCATCTCAGAGATATAGACAGATATTGAAGGCCGGAGAGTACAACGGCCGAAACGTTAGGAATATGGCCATGAAGATGTGGATAACAGTCCGAATAATGTAAATAATACAAGTAATCATAATACCTCATCTCAGAGATATAGACATGTATTGTAGTACCAACTAAGCATGTTGAACGTTTACGGAGACCAAATAATTGATCTGAGTAGCGTTAAGCAGTGGACAGTGTTTTTCGCAGTAACGACAGTGATAATTTGATGTCATGTTCCAGGAGGGTCAGAAATGCTGTTAAATCCGAAAATAAAGAGCGTCTGGAAAATATATTGCCATTAATAGTAACTGAACAAAATAGTATCTTACGTTTAAACAAAACACACAAATTCTCTTTGCATCAATCTTTAGTGTTGTCAGTGCAACTGTAAATCATTTTTATGTAGTTTCTATTAAAAAAAATTGTTTAATGTATGTGATTTATGGAAATATTTGGCTATAAGTTTTTTATATATTTTTCCCAGACAATATATCATATATTGAGCAAATAATATTAATAATAACAACAAAATCTTAAATAAGGATAATGCAAAAACAATAAAACCCAGTGTTCAATGCAGGAAAATTGCAGAGGGGAAAATATATTATATAAGACGAAAGTGACAACATAAACTACTAGTCCTTTCCAATTAATAGCTTCATCTCTGTAAAAAAAATGTTAATCAACTCGCTAGGCACGGAGGAGAAATGGATAGCTGAGTTTGAATTCCAGTTGAATCCATTCCATTCACTTATGTGCTAATACCCTTGGGGAAAGGTATGAGTCCTCTTCTTGTCCCCCCTCCCTATGGGTAAATAGCAGGACAGGCTGGGTTCTAGAGCCTTGGATGTCAACTGATCTACCTCAGAAAGAAATGGCAACCATCTGTGGGGGGAAAAAATCTGCCTCGGCAGTTGTGTATCAGAAGATACATGATTGCCTAAACGTGTATCATGCATGACTCATAAATGACTGATTGATCTGTAGATCCAAGCATCATAAAATTGTACTATAATTAAAACTAAATGTTGATTTGTAATACTTTTCTCTTGTGATGATAGTCCTTATTTACTGTTAATATAAGCTTCCCAAAATGTCTTAGTAACTATGTTTTTTCTCTCTCTCTGTTTCTCTCTCTCTTTCTCTCTCTCTCTCTCTCTCTCTCTCTCTCTCTCTCTCTCTCTGGAGGAGTAGTGGATAGCGGCTTGGATTGAGGAATCGGAGATCTGAGTTTGAATTCCATTTGAATCCATTACATTCACTTACGTGCTAATACCCTTGGGAAAGGTATGAATCCTCTTCTTCTCCCCCCAGATATGGATAAATAGCAGAACAGACCAAGTTCTGTAGCCTTTCATGGCAACTGGTCTACCGGAGAAAGAAATGGCAACCTACTGAGAAAAAAAAATCAGCCTCGTCAGTCATTTGTCCAAAGATACATGATCGCTTAAGCGTGTATCACGCATTTGCACATAACTGACTGAGCCTTCTCGGACAATTTCCTTAGAGTGTGTTGCTGTTAGACACAAGAAAGCATTTACTTCGGAAGAACTGCGAAATAGTCTAAAGAAATATAAACAAATCAATTGTTATATTTCAAAATATGAAAGATATAAAAATAACACCATATTGTCAAAACACACGTGTGGGAAATAAAGTGAAAAGTGTAAACACTTATAGTAAAAAAAAATTAAGAAAAATCGAGACAGAATTTGCAGTCTATATATTGAAGAGCAACTGAAAATCATAGACCTACAAAGGCACGAATGAATTAATAAAGAAAATGTCTGAAATTATGCCGAACTTCACGCACGCTAACGCATTCCTTTTCGAAAAACGTTCAAAAGAATGAACATCTAAAACAAACGCACATCCATTTTGAAAAGCACACAGCATGAAAAAGACATTTAATGGGAGAATAATTAAAAAAAAATGTTACTTTCATTCATGCTCTTTATGCATAAGTAAATAATTATGAAAAATCATACTGCGCTATCTCCGGACAGGCTTTTGAGCTGATCTAGTCGTTCCTATCAAATCGTGAAATGAAAGATGTCCTGAACAGCCACCCGTCCACACCCTTTCGTACTAAAGCGAGTGTCCCCTATGTCTCTATCCTGGATCCTTCTCTGTTTATAATCTTCATTAACGATTTTCCAGATGATCAGCTCTCAACGTGGCATCTATACTAACGACACTACTATTTACTTCTGCCTCCATAGAAAACCTGATCAGTCAGACAACTTCAAAATGGCAGCCCATGTACAAAACGACCGTCGTTAACAGGGGGAAAGGGTGGCGTGTCAATTTTAACGACTACAAAAGTAAACTTCTTTCCATTAATCATCTGAGAAACCCTTCTCTGCCCGCCATTAGCATGGCTGATGCTAACCCCCAGAAAAGTGATTAATTGCACATTCTTAGGGTAACGTTCTCAGCTGACATGAGATGGAAAGACTATACTGAATCCATCTCTAGATCAGCTGCTAAGAAAGTCGGATCACTGTGTCATATAATTATAAGTCCGGCATTCGTCCAGGCTTAGAATATTGCAGCCATATATGGTCCGATTCCCATGCTATTTTTATGTCCTTGGATCTGACGTGTCTTGACCTCTCAGTCACGTAGGAACACCAAACCAGCTAAAGATCTATTGACAAAAGAATTAGTTTCATAAGAGGCTTTTCGTCAGTGCTCTTCACAAATTTAACGTTTGAACACATATTTTCCCGATTTCAAGAATTTAACAAATATTGTATGCACATATCTGCTTTCTTTCATTTCCTTAGGTCATTTTTTTTTTTTACAAAATAGATTAAATCCAACATCTAAATGTTTTCGTTGTTCTTGTTAGATTAAAAAATTATTTCCGCGGACGAAGATGTGTTGGCTGAAACGTCCCTTAGATGGCTTTTTTTAGTAGTAACATGCCTTCATTAGTACTATTCAAGACTTTATTAATATATATATATATATATATATATATATATATATATATATATATATATATATATATATATATGGCATAAGAATGATAATTTGAAAAAAGTTTTTTGCCGACGTGTTTCGTCTTCCAAATTTATCAAAGCAAACAAGGCAAAAAAATTTTTTTTGTTGTCATGGTTACATTAAATACAAAATTTAAAAAGAGAGACGCTCCTGCGTAAGCCTCTTTCTGGCTAATGTTAAATTCTTTTATACTTAGAGTTTGTTTTTGTTTTCCATGTCGAGAATATAGTAAAATTTCCCATATATATATATATATATATATATATATATATATATATATATATATATATATATATATATATAGAGAGAGAGATATAAAGGGAGAGCGAAAAATAATATATTTAATTTGATTTTATGGTATCTTTTCCTGTTCATTTCTATCGGTAAGGTTGACTCCTTGAGAGGTGAAATATTTTTTTTTTATGTCTGAGTAGATTTTTTTTAATATTCCTGCTTAGCATCAAGTGCTCACCAGACTTCAGCACGATCGATTTAAAGCCACAGACCCTATTTTGTGCATTAACAGAAGAAAAAAAAAATAACGTTTCTTCATCTTAATCTTTATACAATATACGCATGCGCGTGTACGTGTGTATGGTGGGTCTCTGTGTGAGTGAGCTTGATTTTTTAAACATATACATTCTTTTTATATTTTCTTTTTGATCTATATTACATTTCAGTTTAAAACCAAGTTCTCTCAGTGTGCAGTTCAAATTATTTTTCAAGTGTATTTAACAAATATTGTAGCAACTGTTCATTTCTTCCCCTGGCAAAAAAAAAAAAACGATTGTAAATATTCTATTGACAAAAGAATTAGTTTCATAAGAGGCTTTTCGTCAATGCTCTTTACAAGTTTAACGTTTGAATGTATTTTATAGCGTCTTCAAAAAAAAGTCGACATTTCGAAGAACTTGGAACTAGAAAGTACTTCATAAATAATTCAAGTTTTATAATGGAACCCCACAAGTTATAAAATAAACAATGGAAAAGATCAGTTCGTTATTTAGCGAAGCCCCACCACAGTGTATCAATTTGTCACCTCTGAAAAGAACGTGAGAAGGAAGGGGAAAGTATCACAAAGAGGGAGAATGCGAGAGAGCGAGAAAGTAGAAAAATGCGAAGGCGGTAAAAAAAAAAAGGGAAAAGGAATATAGAAAAAGGAGAGGAAGAAAAATATAGGACAAAAAATGGAAAGATAATGCGTGTGAAAGAAAGAGACAGGAAAAAAGAGGTTTCATAAGTGGGAGCAAGAAAAAAAGAGCGAAAGAAAGATGGAGAAGTAAAGAGATAAACGGATAACGCTTGTGAAAGAAAGAGACAGGAAGAAAGATCAGCGGTAGTGTAAGAAAGAAAGAAGAGAAAAGGGTGAGAGGAAGAAAATAAATATCAAGAAAAAAAAAGAAGACAGATATGGAGAAACAAGGAGGAGACGAGTTTGAAATAGAGGGGGAGTTATTATTTGAAAAAGAAAGCGTAATAAAAAGGAAAAAGAATAGAGAAGCAGAGGCAAATAGAAAGTGAAGAGAGAATGTTTAGTAGAGAGAAAGAGAGACACATGAAGAGGAAAATAAAAAATGGTTAATGTTACATTTGAATGGATATTTTTTTTACATCTACCACCATGCGCCATGTTGTTTTTTTTGTTGTTTTTTTTACACCGTTGTACTAAAGTCCATTAAACATAATTCTCTTTTATCCTATAAAAATACTCAAATGATTACATTGGCTTTAAAGGTTTCATCTGCACAAGCAATTGACGTCGAAATAATGATTTTTTTTCCTTGACGTTTGCGTATATGTCTAAGGAAGAAAACTTTAACACTACTAATTTCAGAATCTTCTTACTCTAATCTGTTCATTAATCCCCCAGTTACGATCAGTTGAGGTTCAGCATTTCAAATACGGATTTTCAAAAGAAGGAAGAAATCCAAACTTCTAAGTAGGATTTCTTGGATGGAAAGAAAGATGGATGTCTTGAATGGAAGAAAAAGATATATACTTCAAACTTCTAAGGATATATCTTTTTCTTCCATTCACCCTCTATTGAGCAGTGCACTCTGTAATGTACTTACGGATGTTGCACTAGCTATGTTTTACAGATTATTCAAAAGCCTTTGATAAAGTACGTCACAGAGAACTATTTGAACTGCTAGGTAAGCTTTATATATATATATATATATATATATGTGTGTGTGTGTGTGTGTGTTTGTGTGTGTGTGTGTTTGTGTGTGTGTGTGTGTGCGTGTGTGTGTGTGTGTGTGTGTGTGTGTGTTTAGGCACATTTCTTTGAATAGGGCAGACAAGGTTCTTTGATTTAGATTTTTATACAATTTCTCATGTGTTCTAATATTTTTTTGATGATAAATTATATAAAAACTGTCCGAATGTTCCTTTTATCCGTATTTTGAAAATGAAAACATTACATAAATACATACATGCAATAAACTATTTTTTTATTTAACAGTTAAAATATTTCAACCTTTAAAATTGCCAAATGTATAGCCGAAAGCGCTCAGATAAAAAGAACATTCAGACAGTTTTAATAGAATTTATCATCTGAAAAAAAAATTATTAGAATACATGATTTTATAAAAATCTAAATCAAATCACCTTGTCTGTCATATTCGATAAAATGTCCATATATATATATATATATATATATATATATATGTGTGTGTGTGTGTGTGTGTGTGTGTGTTAATATAATAGGAAAGATGTAATAGAACAAGAACTTGTAGAAACTGGGATGACCCATGCCCTTTGTGACTACATGAAAAACTACACATCAGCAAGTTTCTAAAAAACAAAAATTTATTAAATCAAAGAAATGAAATGACGGTTTTTTTGCAGACACCACCAAATATACGCCTTAAACACTTAGTAATTTATAAATCGATAAAAAATTCCACAATATCATATATAAAACATTACACAATACCATACAAAACCTATTAGCAAATTAAATAAATTTCAGACACGTATAAAACTACAGAATCAAAATACAACCCAATCAGATCTAAGCACCCCTTTAAGAAACCATCAACGAAAAAAAAAAAACAAATAAATTAATACCAAAATTACTGTAACTAGAACATCAGTCAGTAAGTTTTAACAAATAGTAATAAAAGCAACAGAGCCTGGGAGAAAAGTCATTGTAGCTAGTCAAAAATCCCACAACCAAACCTTACACGAAAATTTTGCCATATAACAAACATTCATACTTTCATCACAGTAATGACCCCTTGACAATGAAAGAAAAACACAGATTACACTTGTATTTGCAAACTACAAATGAGTAAAGCATTTCTTCAGTGAGTTATTCTAAAACATCGCTTGAGAATGAAACTGTACTCAAAATTTTAAGTTTAAAATTAAAATTAAACTTTAGGACTTGAGTCAAGTTTCGAAACGTAGGAATTTCTGTTACGCGATCGAATCATATTTTTAAATAATAATAATATAAAAGTGAACATTAAAGTCAACACTCAGAGGCGACAGACTGTCGCCTCTGAGTGTTGACTTCAATGTTCACTTTTATGTTTATATGTCCAAATAAAAAGAAAGAACAGACAGATTAAAAATCCACATTTACTTTTTTTAAAAAAAGTACTCAATACAACGTAGACCAAAATATTATAATAATAATATTTTTATAATAATATTTTACACCGCTACACAAAACCTTTCATGTGTAGGAACTATAATGTTCCTTCATCGGGAGATGATAGATAAATTATAATGAAAATTATCTATTTGGAAAAGTAGAAAACAAGTCATTACTTTGTGACGTCGTCCCCTGGTCGCAGCGCCAGTTGTGACGTTCTATTCTGGTCTACCACGGCACCAACTGTAACGTCCCTAAACAGCACCAATTGTGACGTCCTCACCGCGGCGTCAGCTGTTCGCTCCTCGCTGCTCCGTTCGAGTGTCGCTGCTCCAAACGTGACGTCCGCCTGTCGCGTCAGTCGTGTTGTCTCGTCCTGTGACGACCAACTGGCTTGGTATCGGTCGCGGCGCCCAAATGTGACGTTCTAACCTTTTGGTGATTCGGGTGGGAATCTGGTTAGATTTGATATCAGCCTCGTCGTTCCCAACTCGCTTCCAACGCCTGGTTACCAAGGTAACTGCATTGATCCCCAGTCTTCCTACCCACGTTGTGAATTGATCTTAGGCAGACGAGATCAAACAGTGGTTGGGGCCGTAATGCAAACCGAGTTCAACGGGGGTGATACCACACAAATATGCATAAAAGAAAATAAAATGAAAACTCAAAAAGTTCAAAGTATCAAAGAAAAAGGTAACAAACTTTATGTCTAGTTGTTCGATACATAGGACTGCATCTATCTCCGACCCGTTCTATGGATTGTGACACGTCGTTTTCCGTTAGGCGAGTTTTAACGCTTCAAGTTGTTTGCTCTCTAAGAAATTGGTTTTTCGGTGTGTCTTCGGACGAAAGTCGAAAAAAAACTTATTTCGGTGGTCTGGATCTAAGTCGCTCTTCAAAATAATTGTTCTTGGGTTGAAGAGGAGTCCGGAATTTGCGTGAATCTTGGTCAGCTATCTGCGAGGCAGCTTCAACTGGAGACTGACTCTTCGCTGCAACTCCAACTCAAACTGAAATTGGAACTGGAACTCACTGGAACTGCTTTCTGCTCGTTGTGGCTTCGCTTATATGGACGCCGACCAAAACCGGGGTGGGTCTGTCGGCGTCGGGGTTTCCTCGATAATTCTAAATACATATCCACCTCTCTGGTTAGGAATTTCCACTTTTTTCCATTTTTGGGAATCTTTCCTCACTCCCACCTTCTCACCATACTTCAGACGGCGTGAACTGCCCTCCCCACTTCTTCGTAGCAGCTTCTCATACCTACACTCTGGATGGGCGGCGACAGCCTCCTTCGTGCGTCACGTGATCACCACTTGACCAATGACGTCTTAGTCGGGCGTGGACGAATCCGCGGCTTTGTTTCAGGAAAAAAAAATATCTTGCTTAACAAAAAAAAATTATCCCTTCTTTTCCTTTTCTTCCTCTTAATCGCCGTTATCATTTCTCTAGCCGCAAACGGGACAATATGAACAATGGCGGTCATAACTGTTGTTCTACACGTGGTTTTCGTCAGGTATTTTATCGCTAATTATCCGAATCTTCTTAACACGGCCAAGGTCGCCCCGAAAAGACATTTCTAAATTCCCATTCATTTCCCTTCGGTACATATTTCTGATAACATAATTTTATTATCGCAGGCCAAGGATGTTCCGTCGAAGGAAATCGGTCAGCGGACACTTGTGGGTGGCTTTTAATTTTTTCATATCTGTCCAAAGTCCTTTTAGTTGCCTGTTTTTCGTCACTTATCGAAATAACATTTTCATTTGAATTTTTCTTTGGCCAGTCGGTCTGTAGTTGATAATAAGATGCCTTCCCGTACCAATAGTTTGTTTTCATATCCTTAGATAACACAACCGTCGCCAAAACATATCTGATTCTTTCTTTCTTTCCCTTTCTTTTTTACTCAGAATTTCCCTGTCATTGTAATGACACCCTTTCGCCATTTGTTACTTATCAAAATATCCCTTATCCATTGTCTCTTAGCCGTGTGTGTGTTCTGCTTATCATCCACGATTCGGTCCTTAGCCTCTCCTTTTCTTCTTTTCTTTCTTTGCTTTTTCTGCCTCGTTAAATGGTGCCACAATTCACTTGAAAGTTCAAAAGGAGGGGGAACACTAATTTAAAAAGAATACATACTTGTGGGCATGTCTGGATTAACCAATTAAGTAGATAAATGAAAAATAACGTCAAAGGGTATAGGTAGGTGGGTTATTAATTCATGTCTAGAATTTCCCAAATAAATCTTTTTCATTTTAAGTTATCTATCACCGTGTGATGAAGAAATATTATTGTTCCGAAACATGAAATTTTTTGTCTAGCGATGTAAAATATTATGATAAAATTATTATAATATATATATATATATATATATATATATATATATATATATATATATATAGTTTATGAAAAACTAGGTAATCCGTATTGGTAGACCCAAGGAGGATAAAATCCAGAGAGCTGAATGTAAATCCAGAGCAGTAATAATAATTTAAATAAAAACAGACCACTTTAAGGTTCCATGTAATAAATTATTTCACCACAGCCCTTTTAAAGGACTGCGGATCATCAGACTTTACTTCCAAAGGTTGAAACAAAATATGAAAAGAATTTTACACATTTTTGACTGGCCGTATTAAGCATATGTAAATTAACGAAGTGAGGAAATGAGGGGAGAGAGAGAAGACATGAGTGAGTTAGATGTTATTTAATATTTCTATTCTTTCATACGTAAAATTACTTTGAGGAGTTCCAGACATTGACACAATTATATATATATATATATATATATATATATATATATATATATATGTCTATAATAAGAAAAGACAGTAAGATTTATAATCCGGTGTTCCTAGCAATTATTTTATTTAAAACAAAATAACAGTGCTCGATACAAACAGTAGAGCATAATATTATAATCTTTTACTTTTTTAAAAATAAAACCCAACCACCCCAAATCAAAAAGATTAAATTTTCCGTAACCATAACAACTCAAATTATTAAAATTGTCTGTGCTTATAAAT